GATTTATCAGCAAATATCGCTGTAAGTAAGATCTAAATTTTGCAACTTTTGAGCCAAGAATCTAACGAAAGGTGTATCCATTGCTACGAATTGACGTATATAAAGGAAGGAGAGCGAAATTCTACCGGACCTTATGCCGCGATATTTGCCGATAAAGCGGTAATCGCTACAGAAAAATAGAACAAAATACAGAAATACTAGAAATACATGCATGCAGTAACCCCTCGCCAATGTTTTCCAAACATTAAACATGAAGTATTCAGAAATGACCAACACTGAACGCAGGCTCGCGCTCAAGTGTTGCCATGACAACACGATATTCTTAAATTTTTATTTCCATATTTTTTGTACAAAACTGCAAAACAGTTGAAAGATTCGTACTTTTAACTATACAACAATAAATTTCCGAAATATATACTGTAGGTATATTATTTTGCATTTTGTGAGCTTTGATTTAATGTAAAATTTAACTTGAAACGCTTCGTAATATGTTTTGAAATGTTCATTCAAGTAAACTACATTTTGCCGATAAGCTGTTTCTACTTAACAAAACATAATAAGTTTAATACAAATAAAACAAATTGTTAGGTAATTTCAGTTCAGTCTTCAAATCAATTTGTTCGCCTTTACATCAGTTTAAGATTTTTTCTCAAATTAAACGGTAATTTATGAAATTTAGAGATTCGTTGAAAAGGAAAACAGTTCATGGAGTTTAGGCAAAACGTTAAAGCAACAAAATTCGTAAACATTAAATATTCAAACAAACTTGACGTATATTTCACGATTTCCCGTAGTAAATCAATTCTTCTCATTTCTTCAAACAAAATTACTTCAAGCTTGTTGTATATGAAACGATTTTCCAAATATATGTCTTTTAAAATTGAAATCTTGCTAATATCCCACTCCTACAAGCAATCAGCCATATTTTTGAGATCAGTGAGGATGACCACCCACATGACGAGCCAGACAGCTCCAGATTGGCAGCTCCAGATTGGCGAATCTGGAGCCAGCTCCAGATACAATTTCAATCTGGAGCTGGAACGACTAGTTTGGAAACAAACTGCTTTGGCCGCTTAACCACCGATGCATATTCAATTTTTTTGAAAGACCATTTTTACTTGTCATATTGCGATTGCGCTGATTATGTTAATTTATAAGGAAGGCACCCCTCCTATTAATTAACTTATTCGGGCACAAACGATGTTTTTAGCTCGCGTTAAAAAAAGAATACAGCGTATATAAACCTATGCATGACATTATAGTTAATACGGTTTTCCCCTGAGATTATTAAATGTCTTGCACGTGCCAGATAACACGGAATGTTGTTTAGGTGTAATATTTCACATCTCTTGAAAGTTGATTTCTCATCTCGGTAACGAATGCTAGTGTTTTCATGAGTTGCTCATGGTGGATATGTATCCTAAAGTTTCAAATGCTGTAAAATATGATAGTATGAATATTAGTCTAGAAGGGTCATCTTTTAGAAATTCGTGGCAGGCCGAAATTAGCAAGAAATTTGCGAAGCAATTTAGACGATGCTAGACGTATTTGACATGTTATTGCCTTTCGACGACTTGAGCCGCATAATAACACCATTTTTAGCGATCTTGTTTGCGTCGTGTGTTTCGGATATTAAACATGTTTATATCGTTAGTTTTTCAGAAAAGCTCAACAAATGATATTATGTCATCAACATATCAATTTCATATTCCTCGAAAGCGTAATTTACGGATACCAAAGTTGTTGTATTCACGGAAGGATAAAATTAACACAGCCGGGCCGTGCGCGAAATTAGACAGTTCAAATTTGCGCGAGTTATTTATCGCGGTTTTGCGATGTGGGAATAAGTTGACCGCATGAAATTACTTTTGAATACATTTTCCAGAATGGTCATCGATCAAATTTTAAAGTTTTTCATTATAAAGGTAACAAAATAAGGTTTTAAACGAGCTTTGCGATCGATCCGACCGCTGACCAGCCCCCTTGTCAGAAAAAACAGTGATCTTTCACAAGCTACCATGGACGAACGGAACGGAATAATGTTTTCATTTTTTATCATGTACTAAGGAATATGACAAGAAAAAATGGTCTTTCAAAGAAATTCAATTTCCATCGGTGGTTAAGCGGCCAAAGCAGTTTGTTTCCAAACTAGTCGTTCCAGCTCCAGATTGAAATTGTATCTGGAGCTGGCTCCAGATTCGCCAATCTGGAGCTGCCAATCTGGAGCTGTCTGGCTCGTCATGACCACCCACTCAAGATCGTTGGTGAGCGCCCGCGATGATTGATGAACTTTAGACTTCGCTAATGCTTTCGTTTCCCCGGGTGTAAACAGCCTGGGGGAATTAGTACCCTCGCCCCGGGCTTGGCTCGGGGACTAGAAAATGCATGCATGCAGAAATCCTCGCCTTGCTGACAGAACCATTGCATTTTCCTATTATTCCCGGTTCAAAATATCCCCTGTTATTCTAAAACTAGTTTACCCACAGGGTAGTGAATGCTGCCCTGGTATAGCATTGTTCCCAAATCTTTAATATTTTAAAGAATGAGAGTAAGAAATATTTGTAATCACCATTCCCCAATTAACCAAAATTTTGATCTCAACAAATCTAGACAAAATTCCATCATAGCATGAAAGAGCATCGCAAAATTAGTAATATTCCAATGTTTCGTTGCGAAATGTTGTAAAATGCGGATAATATAGCCTTGCGAAATTTGCAGTTTTCAGTCATTTTAGATTACAAACGGGAAATGGTTATCAACTTACCACTTTTCCAAAATGTTGATCTTAACTATCCTAAACAAAACTTTCATCACAACTTGAAAGAGCGTCACAAAATTAGTAATATTCCAAAGTTTCGTTGCAAAATGTTGTAAAATGCGGATAATATAGCTTTGCGAAGTTTGTAATTTTCAGTCATTTTGTAATTTGTATTACGCACAGAAGTGGTAACCATCTCCCGTTTGTAATCTAAAATGACTGAAAATTGCAAAGTCTAGATTTGTTGAGTTCAAAATTTTGGTTAATCGGGGAATGGTCCGTTGGAATCATCCATAATTTATACACTTGAATGTGCCGTATGATAACTCGGCGCTCGAAGTTTCGTATCGAAAGAGGAACAGCCAAACAGGTATGATGGCTAACAAGAATGAGTGTACTTATCAACTTATCTAATGCGAGGAAAAGATCAAAATGGCAGGTATGGCTGTGATATCTAGTATATAAAATTGTATAGACAATTTGCCTACAAATACGGTGCTAGGTCAAAACGGCCCCGCTTCAATAATCATATGATTTAGACCAGGGATTAAAGGGCAATGACAATGACATGCAGGTGACATTTAACATGTGGAATCTGTTCACTTACGCACTGCGTTGTGATGCAGTACAAGTACTAATACAAATGACAAAGCATTTTTAAAGGCTTTAAATCCTAAAACATAATTAAATCATACGGGTGATACGGCACATTCAAGATTTCAGCCGCGTTTATACTGCTTGGCGCGCATTCGCTGCGTTATATTAATTTATATAGTAATATATACCTATGTTATATACACATATTTATTGCTAATGAATCAACACTAACTATATGATAATATATAAGAACTCACAAAGTGCAGTCACTGAGTCACCTTTTTATAAATAAACCTTTTTAAAAGCATGTCATTGTCATTGTCATTGCAGACCAGAGGCAAAAAGCACAGCCACATAGGCCTACCAGATTTATTAAGCAATCGTGAGATTATATACATGGAAAAAATATGGAAATTATGTTAAAAGCACCCCGTATAATGACGAAAGCACCGCGTACTATAATCCTCGAACCACTGCGTATAATGGCGAACGCACCGCGTATAATGGCGAAAGCACCACGTTATCAATTATAATATTTAATAATAATGACTATAAAATGGCGGACGGCAGCGAAATTTTAAACTCGCCTACAGTAAGGAATTTTAGTCTTGATCGTGTTGATATACCCTCAATAAAATTGCTAAACATTAATACACACTTAGTCTATGATGGTACACGTATAAAGTGGTCAAATGATCTGATATCTCTGAAGAATTTTACCGAAAATGTTGTCGGTTTGGTTGGTTGCTGGAGGTCGCCCGGGGGCAAATCTAAACAGTTTGTAAGCAATGACCTAGATCTGACAATGACTTGGCACCCAGGTAAGCAAAATTCTTTGCTGTTCAGCGGGAAGGACGGTGAATCCTTAAAGAAATTATTGATAAGTATTTTGAACACGCCAAACGATACTACACATAAAATACCGGACGAGCCAAAATCATCGACAGGAGAATCGCGTGACATTGGCAAAATTAATAATTCTAGTGAATGCCCAAGCCAGTCTATAGCTGAAATAAAAGCGATTAAGGATAAAATTGACGGTGTATTTGTGATTGTAAACAAGCTTTGTTATTCTACAACTAGATTACTAAATGAATTTTCTGCAATTCTCGCCAGAAAGGATCTTCTCGATTCCACTACCCAAACTGATTTCGAAGTACATAACAATGTCGGATTAAATATAGCTGATGCCACAAACGCGACAGATAACCAGTGTACATACACGCTTGGTGGTTTATTGGACCGAAATTGAAGGTCTCAAACTAAACATCATAATCACAGAATCAAATATTTTAAGCAAAGTTCAGTCTAACAATCAAGCGATTGAGAAAATTCGTCACGATGACCTAGACTCAATCAAAAGCCATCAGAGTAAAAGTAACTTCATTTCAGACAATAATACTGCCCCAATTACAAATTCTGAATCAATTAATGTTGGACCTACAGCTAACTCAACCAAGATTGATAGTACTGCCACGATTCCCATATGTAAACATGGTTCAAATCAGTCTTGTGCTCAATTACGGTCAACCGTAATCTGCCAACAAAATACCAACCCTCCCGGAGTAGCCCAGTTATCAGTAACAAGCCAAATAACAAGTTAACGCTCCAGGCCTACCCTAATTCTAACAAACACGTTACCCAGCAAATCGAAGGTGCACCAGGAATAAATAAAGGTCAACAGAATCATTATAAAGTATGCAAATCCACCTCCGACCATAAATTAGAAACTCCCAAGGCCAATCCTGAAGTAATTAAAATTGGATCGACTGCTAACACAACCAAACCCCTTAGCGTAGGCGCTGGTTCTGCTAAACATGAATCAAAGCAGTATTACGCTCATCATTACAACTTAGTCAGTCCTGTAAAACAAAGTAATTTCCATCAACATTCCCAAGCTGTTTTTCGCCCACAATCAAATGTCAGTTGTGTGAAGCCAAAACCAAGAAATAAACAGAATGTACAACATATTTCAAACCTTAGTTGTGCTAATACTGGCGAAAGTCAGCCGGCACCAAGTGGGACCGGATCTTTGAAATGGTTGGACTGCCTACCTCTGGTTGAAACGCTTAACGCGACAGTTAGTAACCCCACGCATACATCTCGAAGTGGGGCCGAACCCCTTGATTGGATAGGACGGTTGCCCCTACTTGTTAATTACTCGACGCATGCGCCTCGCTCACGCCAGACTCAAAGGAATGAAACAGGAAAGATGAACCGGCATACGTTTTTTTGGTCGCGATTCAACCAGCAGGCAGACTGGTTGAATTACCTGGAGTTTGTCCGTCGCACATTGCAATAAACTTGGAGATCCCTGTCGCAGCTAGTAACAACACTATAATCACACCGGAACGAAACACTATACCAGTAAGAATTACATCTTACCATGAATTTGAAGGTCAGCAGTCTAGCGCTCCGTGGTATAATGAACATATTCCTAATACTAGCAAACGAAACCGTAGCGGAACGCGTAATCTAATTGAAATTCCAATCAAGAATCCATCCCTATATCAAAGCACGTC